GCGATCAATACTGGTCTTGTGGTACTAACTAATACCCGCACATGTATGCGTATCTGCATATTTTAGAAATAGTATACATAATAGGAATGTTATGTTATTATTAAGTGAAGCTTACTCGCGAAACAAATGATAAAAAAGGAGAATTATATCCGACTGTGTGTAACACTGCCACGGTATTGTAACACTGCCACGGTGCTGTCACACTGCCACGGTACTGTAACACTGCCACGGTCCTGTTACACTGCCACGGTACTGTAACACTACCACGGTACTGTAACACTACCACGGTACTGTAACACTGCCACGGTACTGTAACACTACCCCGGTACTGTAACACTGCCACGGTACTGTAACACTACCACGGTATTGTAACACTGCCACGGTATTGTAACACTACCACAGTACTGTAACACTGCCACGGTATTGTAACACTGCCACGGTATTGTAACACTACCACGGTACTGTAACACGGCCACGGTATTGTAACACTGCCACGGTATTGTAACACTGCAACGGTATTGTAACACTACCACGGTACTGTAACACGGCCACGGTATTGTAACACTGCCACGGTATTGTAACACTACCACGGTATTGTAACACTGACATGGTACTGACTACCACGGTATTGTAACACTGCCACGGTATTGTAACACTGCCACGGTGCTGTAACACTACCAGGGGACTGACTGCCACGGTACTGTAACACTACCACGGTACTAACTGCCACGGTACTGTAACACTGCCACGGGACTGTAACACTGCCACGGTACTGTAACACTGCCACGGGACTGTAACACTGCCACGGTACTGTAACACTGTCACGGTACTGTAACACTGCCACGGGACTGACTGCCACGGTACTGTAACACTACCACGGAACTGACTGCCACGGTACTGTAACACTGCCACGGTTTTGTAACACTGCCACGGTGCTGTAACACTACCACGGTACTGACTGCCACGGTACCGTAACACTGCCACGGTACTGTAACACTGCAACGGTACTGTTACACTGCCACGGTACTGTTACTCTGCCACGGTACTGTAACACTACCACGGTATTGTAACACTGACATGGTACTGACTACCACGGTATTGTAACACTGCCACGGGATTGTAACACTGCCACGGTATTGTAACACTGCCACGGTGCTGTAACACTACCACGGTACTGACTGCCACGGTACTGTAACACTACCACGGTACTGACTGCCACGGTACTGTAACACTGCCACGGTACTGACTGCCACGGTACTGTAACACTGCCACGGTACTGACTGCCACGGTACTGTTACACTGCCACGGTACTGACTGCCACGGTACTGTAACACTGCCACGGGACTGACTGCCACGGTACTGTTACACTGCCACGGTACCGTGGCAGTCAGTACAGTACTGACTGCCACGGTACTGTTACACTGCCACGGTACTGACTGACACGGTACTGTAACACTACCACGGTACTGTAACACTGCCACGGTACTGTAACACTACCACGGTATTGTAACACTGACATGGTACTGACTACCACGGTATTGTAACACTGCCACGGTGCTGTAACACTGCCACGGTACTGTGACACTGCCACGGTATTGTTACACTGCCACGGTACTGTAACACTGCCACGGTATTGTAACACTGCCACGGTACTGTAACACTGCCACGGTACTGTAACACTGCAACGGTACTGTTACACTGCCACGGTACTGTAACACTGCCACGGTACTGTAACACTGCCACGGTGCTGTCACACTACCACGGTGCTGTAACACTGCCACGGTACTGTAACACTGCCACGGTATTGTCACACTGCCACGGTGCTGTCACACTACCACGGTATTGTCACACTGCCACGGTGCTGTCACACTGCCACGTTACTGTAACACTGCCACGGTACTGTAACACTGCCACGGTACTGCCACGGTACTGTAACACTGCCACGGTATTGTAACGCGGACAATTCACAGATGAGAATATACACGTCATTACAGGAAATGACCATGTTACACGTACAATGCACAGGAGTCGATTATAAACGTTACTTCCCTATATAAAATATATGTACCACGTTAAAGGTAAATATAGGTTATGGTATATTTACACTGACCTGCTGTGCATACATTAACTCTGTAAAGTATGCACCGTTTAAGAATTTCAGGAGAAGAAAAAAACAAAACCACAAAAAGCACTTGACTCATCCGGTTAAAATATTGAAGAGGAAAATTATTTAGTGTTGGTCCGATCTCAAAGTCACGTATGCAGTGTACACTTGAAAACTTGCTAAACTCTGTGTACTTTTCCCTCACACGAGACCTATATAAAACCCGCCCGACTCTACCAGTCTTTAGCGGATGTTTGGGCGACCTCTCCTGTGGCAACATGGGAACATTCCTCGGCGTTACAAAACGTGGTCATAGCTACAACAGATTCCCATGCAGGCGGGGCAATACTTAAACGACTTATCTTTTTAAATTCTAAGATGTAGTTCAATTTCAGTGCTCATTTTTTAACATTAGCAAAGTTAAATTAAAGGAAGTAGGAAGGAAAGAGCTGTTTTAACTAGAAACCTTTATACTCACTAGCTAGGGCTGTAACCAAATGTAACACGCGAAAAGACACGAACTGTGGATGAAACTATTTACATAGCACAAGCTCGTAACCCAAGATCAACTCTCGCATAAAACACTTGAACGGAATTCGTGTATGGATCACTATGAATAAAACGGAAACGCTGACTTCAGGACACCCTGGATTCAATGTGATCATTTGACCACTGTTACGTAAAACCCAAGTTCACCTAAACATTGATTATATTTGAATTAAAACCACACTATGTGTATATAGCCTCTACGAACACCAGTGGCACCTACTTTACAGGAATAGTTCTTTCCAGGCACAACTTTTCTGGAATAAATAATTGGCCTGTTAGTCTGGATTAATGACTTATGTGAAGGTCAGACTTATGCAAATGTCGGACTTATGTGAAGGTCAGACTTATGTAAATGTCGGTCTTATGTGAAGGTCAGACTTATGTAAATGTCTGACTTATGTGAAGGTCAGACTTATGCAAATGTCGGACTAATGTGATGGTCAGGCTTACGTGAAGGTCAGACTTATGTAAATGTCACACTTATGTGAAGGTCAGACTTAAATAAAGGTCAGACTTATGTGAAGGTCAGACTTAAGTGAATGTCAGACTCATGCAAATATCGGACTTATGTGAAGGTCAGACTTAAGTGAAGGTCAGACTTATGCAAATGTAGGACTTATGTGAAGGTCAGACTTATGCAAATGAAGGACTTATGTGAAGGTCAGACTTATGTGAAGGTCAGACTTAAGTAAAGGTCAGACTTATGTGAAGGTCAGACTTAAGTGAAGGTCAGACTTATGCAAATGTAGGACTTATGTGATAGTCAGACTTATGTGAAGGTCAGACTTAAATGAAGGTCAGACTTATGTTAATGTCAGACTTGAGTGAAGGTCAGACTTATGTGAAGGTCAGACTTAAGTGAAGGTCGATTTTTATGAAAATCAGACTAAGTGAAGATCAGACTTATGTAAATGTCAGACTTAAGTGAAGGTCAGACTTACGTGAAGGTCAGACTTACATGAAGGTCAGACTTACGTGGAGGTCAGACTTATGTAAATGTCGGACGTATGTGAAGGTAAGACTTGAGTGATGGTCAGACTTACGTGAAGGTCAGACTTAAGTGAAGGTCGATTTTTGTGAAAATCAGACTAAGTGAAGGCCAGACCTATGCGAAGGTCAGTCTGATATGGAGGACAGGTTAATGTATGTTTAAGTAGTGCTTAACGTGTCTGTATATCAGGTGAAACCCCTCCAGGGGTTCTGATCCTACTGTAGATAACACTTACCATGGACTTCTTAGGTATGTGTTAGGTATGTGGCTCTGTAGGCCGCCTATAGCGGTGAACTGGCCATAGACAGACGAGACACAATAACCATTTCGTCCTAAACATCAATACATGTAACAGGCTACGGGGCTCCTTGTGACGTAATTAAAACACCAAACCCTCGCAGTCAATATAAACACATTTACAGATACTGACCCCAATTTCAAGAACGAGTTAACTCCGTAAGAACTTTTTATTGAATTGAAGGAAATTTTCCTTCGCATAATGTTTTGTCCGTTGGAAGGTAAGCTAATGTGTATCGTACAGTTAAGGACCATTGATGAAACAGGTCCGGTAACCACTTCAAGGTTTTATACATACTTTAACAGAGAGCAGTTTTTAACTTTTAAATAGTCGAATCAGAGGGTTTCATAAAAATCATCTGATTTGTAAACTAGGAGAAAACCTCATTTAAATACAGTAGAAACGGCAAGGTAAACAAAGGTGTTCAACCTAAATATAGACCACGCGCTATGTGCTCCAGTGTGAATGATTAAGTATATATCGTCTACACACAATATATACAGGTGGGCTTTGATATATCATAGTCATAATGGAAAAACGGCACAGTAGAACAACGACCTTAGAAAAATATAACCATACCCGAGCTACAGCATCCTAGCTAGTACACGCCCCTGGTCCGTACAACACAGGAAACTATGCCCCCTCCTTACTAGATACAAACATTCCTCCAATATCAACAGAGCTGATTTAAAATATAGTATGGTTGTTTTATAGACCTATCTTGTGAATACAAGTATCTGATTACCACTCCATTTGTATAATGATTGTTATGAAAATAACATAATTACAACTAACATTTTGATATTCTGGGTTGAACCCAGAGCTCCTAAACCCTCGCAAGCCTTACCATTCCATGTGTATTTTGATACATGCATATACATCATTGCCAAGGACGTAAAATAATTGAAACCTACTAGAATTCATTGATATGTACATATCAACACATGCAGCAGAAAGCGCCGACTGAACAAGTGAGACGTGGGCATGCTGCACTATACATATATGTATATCTGATATACAATGAGGATAATGATGTTAACACGACAATCTGTACTTACACTTTATCGAATGACATTTCCTTGGGTCTGTGTTTGCTGTGCTGGGGGGAGTGTGGACTAGGTGTGGGAGAGAACGGGTCCCCGTCCACTACATCACCTCCGAGACTGTACTGCGGTATCTTCCTTACGAACGGCTGTCTGTCAAATACAAACGTTGACAAGGTCTTTACACCTCCATCAAACTTTAACATACATTCTTTCGCCATAACTTTTGCTTAAATAAAAGTGTACAAATTAGTTAAAGATATTTAAAGTGAGATTGTTTCTTATCAGTTGATTTGAGTCATAAAATGTGTGGTTACCAGGTGTTGTCTGGGTGTACACAGAGTATCTGCCAATCCGTCCTAAAGCTGGCCACTACCAAGTAATAAATATAGCTAACAGAGACAGCGACACTGACGTCACCGAACCGGAACCAGGTACTCACCCGATATCACTTACCCCCCGAACATTTTATAGGGGTCGTCTCGAAAACTTTAAATCTCGACTTAAGTATACCAGGGACAGTATATCTTCACTATACGTCCCTGAGTATACGTAACCTTACAATGCTTCTCCGTTATTGCTTAGATAAACTGGAAAGGGGAAAACTAAACAAAAAGGACGAAAATGGGTATTTATAACTTATCAGACACCCTTGTATTAAGGAAATGACAGGTTGACGTAATAGGTCACGAATGACTCCTAATTTAATCTATCTGAATGAAACATAATTTCCCGTTGTAATAAAAACTATTTTTATCATACATTTTCCTGTGTGTATGCCGAGTAATAACAATATATCAGTAATATGAATGATGCTGATCAGTAAAATAACTACTTTCTGACACATTTTCGTTGGTTTGAATATCATAAACATCGAAGATAAAATTTCAAAAAACACAAAAACATGAACTACATTTCTTTTTGTATTTTGTTACAACTTTGTATATTTATAAGACGATCTGTCAACTGTAAAAGACGTCATTGTGACCTAGATCAGACGAAATCGTGACCTTGATCACACGACAATGTGACCTTGTTCACACGACATTACGAACTTGATCACACGACAATGTGACCTTGCTCACACGACATCGTGACCTTATTCAGATGACAATATGACCTTTATCCGACGATACCGTGACCTTGATCACACAACATCGTGCCCTTGATCAGTAGACAATATGACCTTTATCCGACGATACCGTGACCTTGATCACACAACATCGTGACCTTGATCAGTAGACAATATGACCTTTATCCGGCGATACCGTGACCTTGATCACACAACATCGTGACCTTGATCAGTCGACAATGTCCTTTTATATAACCTACAGTCGGACCTGACTTAAACTTTACTCTAGACGTCGTGGACGAAATGTCTCGTATGTATTAAGACTTTATCTGATATACTCGTTAGTAGACGACTTGACGTTTACGTCCCACAATACCCGCCGTCCGATAACGGACAACAAATGTACGTTACAACGGTTGTGTCAAATGAATTTTAGAAAAAATCCACTTTTTTCGCCAGATATGAACCTACCTTTTCCCGTTTTCCCGTCTATCTGGATGACAACGCGAACTTCCCCGTCCCTAACACCCTGAGCTGAAGTGCTACTTTGTATGAGGTCGCCCGGCTGTACAATGAAATTCTGATATCAGATAACACAGAAGTTCCCGTACATTACATAATGTCGTACAGAACATGTAACTTTCCTTTCAAATTAACATACGTCCTGGCGACCACATGCACTTATACACACTAACAGCTCCCAGTAGTGTCCATACACTATTTGTTTTTAATTTCACTGTATAGTCTCACGGCTACAAGTAACGATATGACAGCTGTAATTCTCGTTACATGAACGCATGGTCTGTGTTCAATGCGTTCATCACCGGATATACACGCTCTGTGTATCGCAGTGCTGTAATGTGTGGACCATTCGTCATCATCATTCATGTCTTGAGAAGCAAATATGTATCTAATATTCATATCTATTATTCATGTAACGCAATCAACCACAAATTCTCATTTAACGCATGAATGAGTAGGCTTTACTGAGAATTGGAAAATCGTGATTTTCCTGTTAACATCGATTTAGGCGGAGGAAGTCATGCCTCTCCCAATATTGTCACACATGAATACAATAGTTGATCGATTTCAAACATTTCACCTTTCGTGAAATTAAATAATAGACCTTTTGATGTAGCAGAAAGGTACTGTACAACCGTCGTTAGTAAGATGATGTACACAAGTTTAAATCACGTGACCAACTTCAGTGTTGACAAATATCCGAGGCCGCAGTAAATATTTCATGAATGTGAAATTAACGTCTCTCTTTAAATGGATTCAGAATACCCCCCGTTCACACGCGAGATGGATTTGATCGTTTATTTTGGAGTGAAACGTTCAGTAATAGGGTTGGCTGAGGTAGTGATCGTATTTCCTGTCAGAGTGTAGTGCCTTTATTTAGTTATTTGGACTAAAAAGGATTAACACGACTAATGAAAATATAGCCGGAAGCGTTATACCTCACCTATGTCTTAATATGTCTGATTGTATTAAGGGGGAAGTGGGCAGGGAGGGAGGAGCATCGACCACTCCCTCGCGTGAAGTCTAACGCTGTATTCGGAAAACAAACAAATAATGACAGCGAATGGTCCCGAGTACCATGATCTATTTCATTATAATACATTATTTATTGTCCATGGAGCACGAAGATATGTTTTTCATTCCGATTTTATTTTATTTCCGACAATAAAGATTATTAATGTTTAATAACACTTTGTATTTAAACACATTAGTCAATTGTTTGTATAAAAAAAAAGTTATAACTTTAAACAAAACGCGTGATCACGCCCACTAAGTCCTCATAGTCCGGGTCAAGGGAAGCAACTCTTAAAGTCAGGCGATCTAGCATGTACAGGCTATAGTTCTGTAGTCCCGGTAATCCCAATGCGTGACTTCCCGTTAGCAAGTAAGCCGTGGTACACGGTGACGTAACAACTGTTTCTGCTGTTACGGATGTTGACATGTAAACAAAATGTATCTGTTCCGTGGTTTGACCTTTTGACGCAGTTCCACCCGGATCTACCACACCATGATATCACCGGTACCACAATCACGTTGTGTAGTTTCTTAGAAACTATCTTATAGAGTACTGTGTTACAATAAAAATAATGTTTCGTCGACTAATTTAAAAGCCAATATATTTTATTTTTCCCATTTAGTGAGTTTCTCTGGGGTTTTACAACAATATATTAACAATTGCCGCTGCTTCTGAATCGACATTTCTCAATAACTTGAGTGTAGAACGTGACCCAGTTTACCGCGTATGCGCAAACGCTAGCATTTAGACTACCGTGCGTTCGAGACACCAAAACTAAATTTTATTTTTGTTGTTGTGTTTATTATTTTTTCTAATTAAGATGCTTTTGTCAGCTAGTGTCAGAAGCTACAGTCGCGATTGTTCGTCGGTACAAAAATGCTCCATCAGCTCCACTATCTCATCTCGGAGTGTTGGCCGACAGTCACTATCTCTCGACGACATGGTGGCACTCTCTATTTCCCGCCTTTGGGCGCGTCACTTTCAAACGATGGACGTAAGCGGCCATTAGTATTTTCTACTTAGTATTTTGTCCCAATACCTCAATTTCATACAAATATAAAATTATTTATTCCATCACCTACTAATACAATTATGGAAATATTGTATGGGTAAAACATGGATATTTTATGTGAACACAATCATTGAAATGGAGAAACTTTTTTTTTCTTTTGTTGTGACGGAGAAAGTGGACGGGGTTTAACTGTCTGTCAACGACTTTTGCGAATGGCTGTTTCGCATGGATTAACATGACGTTAGAATAATTTTGAACGCAGATTACACAAGGTAAATGCTTGTATCCGGCTCTTTTAATTGTGTTATTGTTAAAAGAAAATATTGCAGATATAAGGGTTAAGGATTAACATTTTATTTTGTTTAGTTTATGAGAAAATAAATCCAATGGAGCACGAGGTAAATTGATCGTAAATCATGTGTACTTATTACATTTCTTCAATTATTTATGTTTCTTCGAGAAATCACTAAATCGTTTATAATTTCCTGACGTGGAGGAAACACCAGAAGTTTAAAATAATTAACAGGATGAAGGGGTTTATCCCTCTGGAACCGTCACTGACGTATTTCGTCCAAGCAAATCTTTTTCTGTTTACATATAAATTAAATTTCGAAAATATTGATACCCTAATATGTGTACACTGTCTGGTGTGATCATGTCAATTCCGCAATCAACGGTCCATAATACGTGCTAGTCCTTTGTCGTGTCATTTTAACGGCACATTTAGAATGAAAATTCCTTGTAGAGCATTTTTTATAATAGAACGTTCAATTCAATAAGTAGTTAAAGGAATTTGACCTTAATGAGATTACTTTTAGTCAAGTAACATTAAATTTGATCAATTACATACGAACAATGAAATCCTTTGGTGGTCAGGTGGCGCAGTGGATAGCACACTTGCCTTTCAACAAGGCGACCGGGGTTCGATTCCCCGATCGGACGTGAACAGGCATATGGTGTCACTTGCCCGACCACGTTGGTAAATATGAAGATATCTATTACAATATTTACTTAGAGTTGTCGTTCTTTACACGCATATTAACCGGAAAGATATCCATTTAGGCCTGGTGTTTTGGAACATTTCTCAGTCAATATATTATTACTATCGTCCAAATGCTCTAGTGCGTGAAATGTTTCTTACCACGGAATTATTGTTTACTGTCATACATGTATTTAAGATTTAAGATGTCGACAATTGTCTGTGCTACCATAGTTATCACAAAAGGTGAACACATCCATTCCAAAAAAATAAATAAAAATTGAAGGAAGAAGTCGTCGTAAATGTTTAGAACAATAGCAACGAACACCTGCCCACCTTTACGTGGATCTGTTCTATCTGAATACGTAAGCATGTTGATTACACAAGTTTTAATCGAAATAGAAATAACAACGACTTACTTTGGCTTCCACTCCTCCCAGTACCAGGGGAAGGGAGGGATTCCCTGCATTCCGTATCTGCAACATAGAAAATGACGTATACATTTCCTGGTGAATACACGGATTCTGAAGTCTACACACGGTAATACATGTTAGAGAATTAGATATCTATATATACAAGGACCCACCACTACAAATATCACATGTACAATAAAAAATCATTAACTTACAACGCTTCGACAACAACCAGCATTTAATGTTTCTTTGGTCTATCTGTTGCACACACACAATATGGGTCATTTTCACCAGTTCTGGTTGGTTGAAAAGTCTAGGGGATTTGGCAGCGTTTCGACCAGTGGTCTGGTTAGGCCCGGGTTCGACTCCCAATGTCGCGTGTACTTGTGCCGGGTAATTGATATAGTCGTATCGATGATGTTTAATTCGAATAGTTGTATTTTAAATAAAGTAAAGAGGCGGTTCCGGTAGTCGTCTCTGTTTGTCGTAAGATGTTTGAAGGTTCGATTTTTTCGCAACGGCTAAGGAACAGAACAGAACTCCATTGAACGAGCAGCAAACATAATAAACAATGCACAGCAATGGAATAGGCAAATTAGCATGGAGACTGAGAAGTTTGCATCACATATTTCAGAAAAATACAAACGTTTTTGTCCTCGCAATAGCTATGGTTATACGTGATTGTTAATTAAAAATTAATGACAGATTCGTTATCCGCACCGTCGCTATTACATACTTGCTCATAATACGCATCTATAGACCATTTGTTCGGATCTGGTGCCTATGTTGGAACATACTGTCGTTATGTATTACTTATGAGACCAATTCGTATTATTTTCTGCAATACACTTATGGTATACATGCTGACTTTTGACAACCATTAAATTGGTTGTTTTCTTTTTCTAACTTAATGAAAAAAACTCCATCAAGTGATGAAGACTGTGCGGACATACCCCATTGACTAGCATATGGTTTTAGTATAGATTCAATTCAGTTTATTCCAAAGGCAGTACAGCTTATAGGAGTCGTACATGTAACATACATGTGTTTAACATACATTATAACATACATTATATATATATAGATACGGCATTAAGAATATTTATGCAAATGATACTATATGAAATAAATAACATTAAGTCCATTATAAATACAATATATTCTATGAAATTAATGATTAATTTTCATATCTATTTTATGAAATGAACCTTTACGTGATAGATGATAATTAAATAGTATATAAATAAATTAGTAAAGTAGACACACTTACGCGGGCATTTATGTGTAGTATATTTAAGCACTCGAGAAATAACATCCGATGTTATAGAGAAGACTGTGTATATGATTTAAACATAAACCACACCGAACTCGCTTTTATATGGCGAGACCATGGGCTGACTTCCAGTAGACACGCTCCAGTGATTCCGGATCTGATTGTCTACCGCTGTATATTAAACTATGTAGCTCTAGTACTGGTGATGAACTGCTGTAATAGTGTATCGTAAGTTTTATGAATGGAGGAAATATATGTCAAATGCGGGGGGGTGGAGACCTGGAGTACGCGTTACAAGGAAATTCCCAACTACAAGGGATGTGCATTGTAAACCCTCCCACATGTTTGATAAAATGCCAGATATTAAGCATTAATGCTTAGAATGAGGCGAATAATTTCAAGAATATTTACTTAACTTGATAATCAAATTGTTTGTTTTTTTAATATAAATTCCGAAGGAAAAATATGATGAGAGAGGGTTATACGACCACACACGTATTCTAGTTTACGACTGGGGTCTATGGGATACTATATTTATAGATCTGTAGTATTTTTCGTATTGATTGTAGGTGATTGTACTCGATATTTTAGCACGTATGAAGTATTAGTTTGCAAAAGTAAAGCAAGACCTACTAAAGCGAAAAAAGAATATTCTACGTTTGGGCATCAAATTGACCTGGCTGCATTATCTTCTCCATACCATATTTATCGCTAAAGGACAGGCTGTGTACAAATAACGTCCTTAAATTACTATAGCTGTTAATAGGTCGTAAAACACAAACAAGCCTAACCAAACGTAAGATGGTTAATATCATATTGAGATCCTCGGGCACACCTCTGTTGTACATGCACTATATTTCTAGGTGTATACGAATGTGTAATGCACACTAACAATACACTACACAGCCATTGGTGAACGTCTCAAGCAGTGATATCGCTGTTTACTAATGACAAATGACGATATGTACAGATCAAGTAGATGTACTTATGATATCACGACATATCAGCATACATGTATTAGCAAACATAAAAGGCACGTGCCGTCTACCAATTACACAATATCTTACAATGTACGACAATATACAATATTTGTACATAAACGAGAAACTGAGTTCGTGTCTTCTGTTGACTTGACGTCTAATATCAACTCGACCAGACTATTTGGTGAAATAGAAAAACTAGCGAGATATAATATGGTATGTCCTGTATCAAGTCACTGTATCCGAAAAACCCCGCAGAAAAACTGTTAGTATCAAGTTCCATCCTAGTAAAACGAGCCATACCAGCTTATGTCGATAAATACTCGTCATTGTGACGTCATTCTGATAAATGTTAGTTATTATGACATCATTCTGATAAATACGCGTCATTGTGACGTCATTCTGATTGAAATACTCGTCATTATGACGTCATTCTTATAAATATTAATCATTATGACATCATTCTGATAAATACTCGTCATTTTGACATTTGATGAATAAATCTTGTAACAACTTTTTGGTTAATCGAAAATCTAGAAATTCTCCAATATATTGTACTGTATCTAATGAACGAGACAGTGTCAATATAATATCATACTGGAAAATAAATGTATGTTTGGTTTTAAATTATCGTACTCTCCACGTTATAGTGCGCTTACCGTTCAGTGTGGAATCAAAAATGACAAGCATCCAGTTATTACATAATTATAATAACACCGCCATGGCCTTGACCTTAACGTGAAATATATCAGATGATGGGATATATCTTCAGGTATACTCCACTTTTCATTTCTCACGTGTATTTAGCATAAATTATACTCTCCTCGAGACGTCAAAATGATTCACGTATACCTTTGGTTTTCATTGGTTCGAGCCATTCTCCTTATGGGAATTGATTGACTCGCCTGATTCAAATTTGGTAATTGACACATGTCATTTGGGTATGACTTCATTCAGTCAAATTGTACATTTTACGCGCTGTTATTGGTCAATATACACGTGCCACTTTCTCCACTGTTTATTTTTAACAGGTTTCTCCAAATGTTTACTCTTTCTGCAGTCGCTGAGATCCTTGTTAGTACAGGTGTACGGAAGTACACACCTGAACCGCTATCGAACTTTTAGTCAACTAACTGCGCATTTAAATTATTATATTTTTCTATTTTCATCGTCATTTTACCTTTATCTTTTTTTTTTTAATGAATATGCGTTTTATAATGAATTTACATGAAAATGTTATTCGGAATGAGTTGTATTGTGGCATATTCCTGCCATCGGCCTTCGACTTACGGGTTACGAATTGAAGTCTGGAATTTTTTGGAGATTCATACCTTTCCTTTTCCCACTTCCCTGCTCTTTCCTTCAGACAGTGTCTCTCTGTGCGTTTTAGTAGAACATTGGCTGTTGGGGGGACATTTAACTACAAACACTGTCGAGAATATTCTATGATATAGATACAAAGCTAAACCTAGCAAACCAGACGAGGTGTGGTTGTCGTGTCGTCCTCAATCCTCACCTCAGCAATAGCCGATACAATAGGCCAATGTTTGCCCCAGATACTCGAGTCCACACTCGAACAATAGTTTACACAATCTGACAAGCCCGAGTTTCCTCTGGCCCTAACACCAAACTAAGACAATTTGCCACATACAGATGTCTTGTATGTCAAAATGTCTTAGTCTGGTGTTAGGACCAGAGGAAACTCGGGCTAAAATGTCCAAATATAGCTGTAATCAATTCTCTGGTCTCTGTGACGAAGACAGATCGTGTGACACGAAAGACCAATTTTAGACAATAACATCAAAATAAGCATTGTTATTTAAGACAGTCATTTCGAGATATTATATTCGAAGGATTGGTACTATTTTCATTTCTTTAACCCTTATTTTCGACGTATATATTTGTCAACATCTGTCGAACAACATTTGACTTTGATTTTTCAAGTATAAGAAACTATAAATGTCAATCCACTGGGTCTGTTAACTTAATAATATGATTAATAGCAGATAGATTAAATATTTCTCGCAATTATGACTGTTTGTGTGTATTTTGTCTTATGGTGATTAGTAGCAACTTTAGAGCATGTCGGTTTCATTTTCAATTTTAACGGTCTTGCCAGAAACGCTGGATGGACTGGCGCCAGACTTGGATTAGCACTGCCCTATGTGACTTTGGCCTTTTATAACGCTGCCTAATCCGGTATACCCAGTACACTGGCGAGATAGCGGAAACTGACCCCTTTTGTCAAGCCCGATGCTTTCTAATTTATATTTACCGCCTGTTATCATGGTAACCATAGAAATAACGACCTTGTTTCCGCCAAAATGGCTGTTTCTACATTTAGTAAAATATAAATAATATCATATGGAATCCCCGACCTAGTATGGGGCCCAGTAGTGGGCTACATTGTTACGTATATCCTGAAATCAGAGAAGAAATGGAGAGGGGGGGGGGGGGGGGGGGGGNAAACTGTCGCATATAGGGGACAAACAAATGAGGTAATTGGTTCCAAATTTAGATCTTTTCAAAGGAAATACGACTTTTTCATATCAGCGATTTACGGATTTCCAGGAACCTCATAAACTGACTGTGTGTGTCCCCTCGATTTCAGTGTAGATTGCTTGATACTTGGGACTGTTTATGAGGTCAAATGTGCCCTAATGAAACACGTGTACATTATAGTGACGAAACACGCGTATCCCTACAAGTAACGTGACATGTACAACCGACCCTAATGAAACACGTGTACATTATACTGACGAAACACTCGCATCCCTATATATAACGTCACATGTACACCCGACACTAAT